GCAATTGACTTTAGTACAAGGTGATCCTACACAACGTTTTCTTTAGGCTTATTACAACACTCACTACACTTATAAGGCTTCAGAGCACACCCCCTTCTCATGGACCCCCCTTGCACCCCCATCACTAAAATCATAATAGTCAAACAGTAATCGAACTGTTCTACCTGGATAAATGCATTTTGGCTTTTATGACTCCTCCTATTTTGAGAAATCAAGCGTGACGTGACACACACTGGGTTTTATATAGGTTAGATATGGAGTTATCACAGCTGTCTGAAGTCAGGTTCTTCTTATTCTACAACTCAATATTAACATTTTCTATTTATTTCAGTGGCTTAGGAACATATTTGAAACAATTATACTGAATCCAAAATAAAACTTGATAAAGTTATGGATGCAGTGTTTGGACTTGTTCAACTTTATAATAAAAAACTTGTGTAGAAATAATTCAGACTTTGCTAAGTAGTCATCTTTTTCTCATTTCACAAGTAAACGTTTTATAAAGACCAGGTCAGGTGAACAGTTCCTTAATTTTTTTTTCATACTCCTACTTGCCCATATTGATAATATAAGACAAAAATGTGACTTCTTTAAAGTAGAGTATAGAGGGTTGAGTATGTTATATTAAAACAATTTTGAATATGCAAGTTACATAAAAAATCACAGCTGGTATATATGGCATGTATCAGAACTTCATTTTGACATTTGCTTTTATTAGGTAGTGTGATGCCACTGAAAACTGATCACTTTTGTAAAGGGTATATAATAGCCCTTCTACTTAATGGTAATGGAAAACAAATGAATATGGATCAATATGGGGCATCAAGACCATCCACAAAGAGATCTGCAACAAATTGTATCACTGCATTCATACCTGTAGTAAGCAAAGTGTGAAATCTTGTGACACATTAGAATCCACAAATACATGTCAGTTGCAAAAGCCATCCATATTTCCTTTGCAAAGTAGACAATATAATCAAGAAGTATCTGTTTGGAAAAGCAACAAGACACATGTACGCTAGATGGATTATAGAAACCAGCAAGGAGTGGTTTGCTTTGGACATACATCCTTACAACAGAGCCTTTTGTAATGTTGCAGAGCTATTGCTAAATTATGGTGACATTGACTACAATAATATTTTAATATAACATACTCAATATCTATATATGTGCTTGGAAATTAAATTTTAACATTCAAGTTTCAAAAAAATCTAAGAATCTAAGCCACATTTAATACAGAAGTAAAAAAAAAAAAACTAAGTTTATTTCTAAGACACTTTTATACAAACACCAGTCCTAAGAGTTGCTTCCCACTTGAAACAAAAATTTGGCAATGGTAGTTCACAAGGTGGAAGAATCTTTCACAAATGAGTTAAAAGTGCTTTCGATAAACAGTCTCACATACACAAAAACGACATTTAACCAAACTTTCATTGAAATTTACATGTGTTTATTTATATATGCCCATAGAAAGCTGCTGGTTTAGACTTTTTCAAAGAATAATCAATTTGGAGGGGCAAAAAAATGTAAAAAGTGTACACTTATTTACAATTTCAGCTTATACTGTCCGAGTTAAAGGAATGTTAATAGCAGCAGTAATTTGATTTAAAATGATTTTTACTTCCATTTTATTACTATGGTCATATTCTACCTACCAAATTCATTTAAGCTAAGAAATTACTTCTCTCCATTACCTTTATTCTAATCTTTGTAACAGTATTTTGGCATATTACTTTATATTTAAGACATATCAATACAAAAGACATTAAAAAGTTGTGCTGAGAAAATTTTCATTTAAGTAGCATATTTAAAGCCTAAATATGCACAAATTTCACTGTACATTATGCAAAAGACTACAATGTCAACAACGTTACGATACCAGAGTACAAAAAATGATCAACGATGCTGTGGACGCTTGTGGTGATGTTTTGGAAGTGGTTGCCATTTTCTGAGATTTAATTCCTATAGCAAATAAACAATAAAAACAAAGATTAAAACTAACATCTTTTGTAAATTTATCACAATTCATGAAAAGTTCATTCTGGTTAGTGACATTAAAGTTAACTATATCTTAAAATGTTGAACTTCACTGATATCAAAATTACAGTAATATATTTTTAGTTTTACACCCCTTTCTCACCAAAAAAACTTGGATGTTTTTGTTTATCATAATTATTTAGTAATAGTACCAAACAAAATAAAAAAGTGGATATTTTGTAAGTGTATTTGGAAAGCTAAAAAAACTAAGTCTAGTTTGTAGAAAATTAAACTTGAATTAATTTCAGAATCAAAAGAAATGTGAATTTCACCCACTTCAATTTATTTTCCATAAAAACATAGGTGCTTGAAAAACATGCTTCCTTATAATTGGATAAAAAACATAATAAGACACTTGCAGAAAAATACTCTTTTATGTAATACCCATATTTTTCTTACAATTTTTGAAGTTTATAATTATAATACATTACATGGCTTTCAAGAAAACTTATGAACTGAAAATTAGCTTACAGGTATAAATAACATTCACAAAGTACACCAGAACTTTTTAACTCAACTGACTACATCCTTTCAAATTGAAAAATATGTAAAGTATTAGAAGTTTCAACTTGTTTCATTCACCTGTTTGGGTTTTGTACAAATAAAATTATTGTTACAACTTTTTTTTTTTAATCCTGATGAAGACCTGCAGGTGGTTGAAGTTGAATCTTCCAAGATGAATCACTAATCACATTCCTCTATCTAATAGTATTTATCTTACACCAATTTTTATTTTTATTTTTTGGCAGTTCTAGATATAAATGAAATACATTTATTTCTACACATTTATATTACCTCAATTCAAGTATTTTAGAACAATTCACAAACATACACAACATTCTAAACAAGTCAATTTATACGAGATATGAAATTTTCACCTCATAAAATCAGCATGGAAAAAATGAAACATATATTCAGGTTTGAAAATGCATGCTTTCTTGATGATTTTACTCTGGAGTACTTATTATGACAAGATTCCAACTTGAATGTATATTAAAGGCTCATGAAAGAAGACTATGAGCTAATTTCTACAAGAATATAATCTTAACCTATGTCAGCTGACCATCCACAGTTTACTTCAATTTTGTTTTCAGTAAATAAGGATATAAAAATTTTCTCCTTTGAATGATACAGTGTTAATAGTTTCATTAAAAATTCTGCTAATTTTGATGATTTAAACCAACAATCTGGAAAACTTACTCTTGGATGCTTCAAGACTGATAATAGTTTAAATACCTTATCTAATTCTACTGTAATAAATGCACCTGCTAAACAAAATTTAAAATAATTTTCTAAAGTGAACCATCTCATTTACTCTTTTAAGCATTACACACAAGATATAAAGGTTCGTGAAATTAGTTTGCTTAATTATTAAAATATCCAAAAACCTTCACACTTTTACACAGTAGAAATTTCTTGCCTTGAGTACAAGAGAAGAAAATGAAATACACATTTCTGAGTCTTTAAAAACAAAATATCCCATACAAAATCCATTCAAATAAAAGGTTCCATTCTTACATCTTTACTGATGTTTAGTTGGCTTGAGTTTTTAATTTTCTTAGCCTCTTTCTTCTGCTGTTCTAACTTTCTCTGCATGACCATCATCATGGCAGGGGTTGGATTATCTATTTGGTTTTTAGTTGTTTTTTTCTTCCATTACCATCATCATGGCAGGGGTTGGATTATCTATTTGGTTTTTTAGTTTGTTTTTTTCTTTGTCATTACCATCTAGCATGGTCAGGTGTTGTCATTGTTTATTTGTAGTTTTAGTCCTCTTTCTGCTTTTGTTGCTGTTCTAATTTTCTTTGCATTACCATCAGCATAGCAGGGGTTGGGTTTTCTAAAATATTTCTACTTCCATTGATGTGATTTTCGGAAGGGGAACGTGACATCAGTCCGGGTATGTCTGATGCTGCTTTCTTTGTTCTTGGTCTATCAGCCACAATATCATCCGCAAAATCTGAAGAAGCTATTCTCTGTGCTCGTTTCATCCTAGGGGAAGTTTCTTGCTTTTTATATTCTGCTAGCCTTTTCTATAAAATTAAGATTTTAAAAGTTATTTAATCTTTCATATACTTTTGTTATGACTAACATACAGAAAATAATAAATACATAATTTCCTAATGGAAATTAAAGTAATTTAATTAATAGCCAAATATTTATAATTTTCATAGATGCTAAAGTGTAATCAAGCATTACCAAACATATAATTTGGCTTTACTAGTTAGAGATCTTCAAAATACTCCCAGTAAAATTCTTTACAACCTCCAAAAGTACATTTTATGAATGACTAACTCATAAGCCAATGATAACGTAGTGAAAATTAATTCTAAAATTACCACTACAACTGAAGATTATTTTTCTGCTGAAGGAAAAGAAAGTTGGAAACGTAATGCATTTACGAGAAAACTCATTTCCAAAACACTGGTATTTTAGACAACCAACAACGATCAAGCAAAATGAGAAATTATTTTCATAACCTCTCCTGAACAACACTAAATAGCTAATACATCAGAATGTACAGCACACGTTGTTTACCAAATTAGATTCATTTTCACAACAGGCTTCATACTTACACATTACACTAACCTCCAGGCTTAAAATTATTATAAAACTCAGACTAAACAATTCTATCTTATTACATAATACAATAGATTGAGTTTTCTTTTCTTAATTTAGTTTCTACACAGTTATTATGGCCAAAATATATATGGTGTGTGTGTGTGTGTGTGTGTATATATACAAAATTATGATTACAGTACCATAATTTTTAATTGTGTAAACTAGCAATTTAGCATGATAACTGTGCATGACGAGTTGTGTTTGTACCTTTCTCCATTTTGTCAAACACAAACATATGTTCATAGATAGAAGTTAAAAAAATTATTTAATTTTCATTGGATAAAAATGATGTTTACTTACTATGATACTCTGGCTTTCATAATATCAGATACTTCAAGGTCTTCAGTAGATTTACTACCTTTATACTTTGTTTAATCAGTAATTTGCAAATCAAATTACAACACATTTTTGCTTTCCAAAACCAGTAATACAAGTTGATGAAGTATGATCACTCAATATACAATGTTTATTTTAAAAAATTTTTAATTCCAAAAAAAATGTATTTTTTTCTTCTATACATAAATATCATAAATTTTATTTAAATGTTTTTAAAATCAAGGAAACTTGAGTAGAGATTACTGTAACTGTTCATTTTTACAAGTATGATGAAAAAAGATTTTATTATGTCATCTATGTAATTTATAAAATTATTAAATGCTCTTGCTGTGAGTTCAGTTAATTACAACCATAGCAGCATATTTTACACTTTATAAAAATAACCACAGTGATACAATGTAAGTTTTCCATGATCAAACTATTGTAACTATTTTGTTTCAACACTGATATACCAAAAGGTACACACTAATATGCCGAACCTAACCTCGAAGGGGAGAATCTTCCATTGCTACAGCAGTGTATAAAACCAATGAAGATTAATATGACTTGTAACAATGCCATTAGTGAAAACTGTTCCATTTACTGAAGGTGAACTAAGTATATTCCTAGTCATGTGTAAAATGACAAGGCATCGTTGAGTAGCAGGGCAATATAATTTCCTTCACATCCCAACTATAGTCGATGGTTATTCAAACAAATTATATAAATAATGTACAAAAAGAACACAAGTAATAACAGTTCAAAACATGATGTAACTCAATTGCAATAAAGATAAAGCTTTGAAATGTATATGAAAATAAAAGTATATTAACAAATATATAGGTGGAATTAACTGTGAGAGAAGGTTAGTAGATCATTATAAATCTTATAAGTGGTTATCAACTGCTTGTATCGAGTCTTGTCCAATTTTCAATATCTTTAACTGTTGATTAAGAAATTCATTGAACAATCTGGCTGTCCGTCAGTAGTACTGTAATTCTGTGAGGAGGTTCAGAACCTGTGATATATAAGCTTAATTTTGTAGGCAACCCCACCCATTCACTCTCTAACTGATGTAGGTACAAATATACGTTTTAGTACTCTTTGGTTGTGATACAGATTTCATGTAACTATTTAGTTGTAACTTGATATTTTAATTACTTTTAAGTTTTTATTATATAAATATATAACAACAACATCGTGAGTACCAATTCTTAATGATGCATTCAGTTTTGTCTCCATAGTACGTACATTGTCCAGTATATGGAACTGCTCATTTCTTTCACACAGACAGAACTGTGAAACAGAAAGTTCATACATTAAATCTTGAATGGTTTGTTATTTGTATGTACCAATGACCTGTTTTCAAGCAACTTTTGTAAACTGAAACGAAATGTTACCACAGAATGAACTGACTTGAATAGCAGTTCAAAAATCTAAAAAAATGTGTAACTAGAACTTTCCCAATAGATAAGAGGTGGAGAAAATGTAATGCTTTCTCATTACATGCTGGCATGGTAACTGTTCAGTTTTATGAAAGTTATGTCTCTATAAAGTGCCTTGTGTTGTTTAAACAGTAATGAAAGATAGAGATTTTAGTGATAAATAAACACATACTGTTAATAACCAAAGCATGAAACAAACTGTCAAAAAAAAGTTTCAGTACAAGATGAAATATAGTAAGCTATGTACATACAAGGGTGTTTCTTTTTTTTTCTATCTGTAGTTTTATCATAGTTCTATTTTAGCTTTTAAGAGTGCAGTATATAATATGAACAATCAACTGAGAAAGTACAAAAGACCTATCACCTAAATACCATCATCTAGGCATAAAAATTTTAGATACAAATCATATGGAAAATATTGGTGATGAACAGTTTGACAATAAAGTCTAGAAAAAATAACAATTTGATTAATATGAAAAATAGTGACAATAACATTTATTTTACAATAAGTAAAGAAAATTACCTTTTTATAAACTGCAAAAGCAAGCAACTTCATTTTAAGAGCTATTTTGTAATTAAGTAGAGGTAATTCTTTCTATGAAAAAAAAAACCGGAATGGAAATGCTTTCAGCTTAAAATCTGTTTTCTACATTAAAGAAGTATTATCATAGTACAAAATAAGAATTGTAATTACTTCAATTTATAACGTTAAGTAGACAAAATTACCTTAAAAGATTTATTTGATATGGATTTGGGAAGGGTAAAGTCAAGTTTCCCGTCATCCTTGTAGCCAGCTCTTCTGATTGATTGCCGAAGAATCTGCTTGCAGTGTTCATAATTTGGATCTGCTTCGAAATGAAGACTTGCTACATACAGCATATATTCTTGGATCCCTTCTAAACACTCAGAAAAAATAATATAAATACTAACTGAATATCAAAGCAACATTAATAAATGATTAAAAAAAAAGGTTACATATTAAAGATTACTTTGGTTTAAATACACTGTGAATTTAAAATAACAAATACAATTAAATGTTATTTCAATACCTTAAATAAATATAAAAAAAGCTGATTTAAGGTAAAAATGAATTTATGATTTCTTTGGATACAAGTATACAGTAACCTCAAAAACAATCACTCTACAGGCCAAGATTGTAATATGGTCACACTTAGACTTAGATTCAAGAATACAGGAAACATCTGAACAGACATCCCACATTACAATTCACACAAAACACACACACACATGAAGAAGAAGATAAGCTCCCAGTTCTTACTGGTCTGCTGGAGAACGTACAAAGGATATGTAAACAACAGAAAGTCAGAATATTTGGTAGCCATGATACATTACAACTGCAATTAGTATAGTACTCACAAAACAAACAAAAGATCCGGCAGAGAGGAGAAAAACCACTTACAGTATCCTCTGTGAATATGGATTCCAGTACATTGGAGAAACAAAAATACCAACAAAAGTTAAATTCAGGAACGTAACAGAAATTCAAGACTATCAATCTATCTGGAATAGCTCATCATGCCAGATAATATAAACATACAATAAATTGGAAGAATGCTAATAAGATATGAATCAAACATGAGAAAAAAGAAAGATAAAAGAGCTCTTCCTAATGCATAACACAATCAACTTAGCATAGCAGTCAGCAAAATCTGGATACTCCTCTTGGAAATATTCAAATAATTAGTTAATTCAAGTTCTAATGAGAGAGACCTTCAATTGGATTCCACCAAGAAGACCCAGAACTGAATCCCAGCCACTACCAACACAGAGAATGCTCCTTTTCAGGACTTCCCTAAAAACAACAGCAATTAACAACCAAAAAAGAGGGTAAAAACTTGTTAGTATTCAGTATATAGCTTAAAAAAAGTTAAGTTTTTTTTGTTGTTGTTGACACAAAAGATTTTATTACCACACAAGAAATTTTTATTTCAAATAACAAAATTGGTAAGATTGTAATTACATTATCTTTTAGAAACCAAAAATATATATATTTTATTATTTATTTTTAACATAAAAACCATTAGAGTATACTTCAGAATTTTAGCATGGAAGTAGTTTTTCTTAATTCAATAACATGTACATATAATGTTTTTAACTATTCCTAGACAGTAAAGAAAAAATTTGTTCGGTACTTTTAAAATTATTAGGCCTTTAACCCTGAATTAAAATATCTATGGGCAAGTTCATAACGAAGAGTAGTCTAAGTTTTCAAGTTTCCACACAGCAGATCTCCCAATTCATGAAATATTTTGGATTTATGTAGTCTGAAGAAGGTATTTCCTGATCAAGGGGAAAAATATGAAATTCAATCACAATGTTCCCAGTGACCAACTACACAGGTTAAACACCATCAACCCCCTTGTTAGAATTCTGTTGGAATTTGGTTATTTCCAGTGCAAACGGTGCCTAAAAGTGACCCTTCTAGGAGGTTTACATTATAGGACTTTTCAATGTATAGCTTTCCTACACCATGATTATAAAAGCAAACAATGCACATACTTGAATGTCCTGTACACAATTAATATAGTATTGAACACAATCAGTAAAGCACAAGAAAGCACAGCTTCAGCAGAAAACAGACTACTCTATGAACAGCTACTGGTTCCCATCAGAAGTAGTAGAAAAAGTTTAACATCTTCAGAAGGAACTCTTGAACATAGTGGCCCACTGCAGTTAAATAGGAACCTCCATTGGAATAAATTGGGATAAATCACACAGCTTTTAGGTCTACAACAGTAACACAAGTATTGTGTTCACACACTTCTCCCAGATGAAAAACCCAATTGTCTAAAGCTGTGAAACATGTGAAACGCAGAAGGGCACAACATTCATTTTAGTGTATTAAGCAAGAGCATTCTGCAGTGAAAACTGCATTGCAGAACAACAGTTCCAAATACCAAAGAATATTACTGATGGTAGATGAAAGTGCTGTAAGGTCTGGACACTCATCCTTATATTTTACCACAGTTCATGTTCACCCTTCTGTATAATGGCTCAATTTTTAACTGAACAATAGTTTCTTAAAGCAGCATGAGACTTCAAACTTTTAAACCAAGATCTTTCCATTTTCTGAGGTTATAGTGAGTGTCTAAAAAATTCTCACGTGAAAAATAAAACGGGAAATTTACACTCACTGAACTGAAACATTTTGACTAAGTCTGAAATGCCCAATAAAATCATGCCATAACTGTAGTTGTTTGTTACTCATATATATATCTGTATAGCTTCAGCAGAACACAGACTACTCTATGAACAGCTACTGGTTCCCACCAGAAGTAGTAGAGAAAGTTTAACATCTTCAGAAGGAACTCTTGAACATAGTGGCCCACAACATACCTAAAAAACATAATCACACCACTCCCCCACAAAAAAACAACAATGACGATGATGATGACAAAACCTTGTTGAAACATTGTACATTTGTTGTTATGTTAAACTTATATTAAAGTTTTTCTTCATTACCCATTCAAGCCGTCTCCAACCACTATTAAACATGATTTACCCCTTTAGATACACTAGTCAAATCTGTGTCTAAGAAAACTTTTAACTGGATAATACAAGCAAAAACAATGATGGAAAAATAATACTGCCTAATAATCATTATTTATATTTATCATGGTTATGGTAAATAAAGAAAACAGCTTACCTGGACACTGGCTGGCTCCAAAACATTTCTTCATGAACAACGGTATATTTGACATGTACCTGTAAAATTTAGAATTAAAAAATTATGACTCTCAGTGTTATAGATTTACTGCACTAGTAGCTAGTAAAACAGGAGATGAGATTACAGCTTTCTAATCTATGTAGAGAAATACTTAAAATGTCTTAGCCCTTTAATTACTGTAGGAGAACTGCAGTTTCTGTGTAAAGTAACAAGTTTTTAATTATACTGTCTTTTGTTTGTTCATCATTAAGTACAAAGTTACACAACCCCACCTTTTTCTTGCCTTTAAACATACCTAAAAAACATAATCACACCACTCCACCCTCCCCCACAAAAAAACAACAACAACAAAGTTTTGGTTTTATAGATGGGTTATGCAGGGTATTCATGAGGAAACATAGTGAAGGTGAAATATGCAACAACTGCCTGGATCAGGGCAGAAACTGTTGAAGAGGGCATAAAATTTACAAAGGTAGCAAAAGTAGAGTGGATGACGTTCCCAATGTCATCATGAAGAGGAAGGCTATCATCACTCTACTTGTGATATATCTGTGATCTTTAGTTGTCAAAGATCTTCTCTATATTTGTTACCTTGAACTAAATAGCTGTTACCCGTTTTACCTACATTTTGTTTTATTACAACATTTTGCATAATGCCTAAGATCTAATAAAACAAAACAAAAAAGGGACCTGAATTTGTCATCATTGAGTTTTCCAAATCTAAGTTGGCCAACATGCAATTCTAAGCTTATTCATGTATCATATATTTGTAAAGCATGACAAAACTCAGACTTTACTCTAATTTACTAATTTCTGCTTTAAGGTTTTTCCCATACATGCTCATCTCTTTTGGGGTGGCAGTGAGGAGGAGGAGGGGGCTTGCTGGTATTGAGGTTAACCCAAATCACGTGTCTTACTCTCCTATGTAGCCCTTGTACACAACGAAAAGTGCTTAACGTTCACTCCTTAAATACTACAGTATGTGTTCCCACAAGATACAGACTGAATCAATCGATTATCTTACATGACACCAATCAGTGTAATTGAAGCTCACAGATAATCAATTAATTGAGTTAATCATCAAGATCTATCAACAACTGACTCAAACATTTTCCTCCACGGGTATAGGGTCGGAGCCTGCAATGTGAAGCTGATCCATGGGAAAGGATACCCAACTTGGGTGAATCTGTTTGTGAACTAGATCATATAAATATTCCCATATGAAACACTATACAAAATAAACAAAATCAGAAGTCTTAATATTTTATTGGAGGGTTCACCTTGTGTAGTAACTTACCGAGACTTTTCTTTACTAACATACTCTGTGTCCTTAAGATCATCTTCCCAAGGTAGTTTCCTACAAAGCCATTGTAGCATATTATAGCCAAGAATTTCTAAATCTCCCCTTCTAGAATGGGCTGTAACACAAGAAAAGATCATTGATATTCAAGCCTTCTAAATATTACTTAAAGACATCTAAGAATAATCTGATAAATAGAAGCATACCAAGTTGGCAAGTGTTACTAGAAAAACATAAACCTATTGTTTGGGATAATTTATAAAGCATCTCATACATGAGAGATAAAATAATAATCTGAACAGATTTAATAGAAATGTTTTTGAACCACCTATACGGTTCTATGTTGATGACCTCAATTTCATTCAGCTAATAATCTCATGGAGTCACATTAAAACACAAAAATGATTGGTTTTTAGCCCAAAATGTATCATCATAAGTGAAATAACGTAGCTAATCTTTGTAACATTATAAAAAGTACATTTATAAAAGGCAAATAATAAACTTTTATCACTATTTTCTGTCAATTATAACTTGAATAACAAGTTGTACAATTAAAACAACAGAACTTTAGGGCAGAGTAAACATCAGTTCTTAGGTTGTATACATTTATGCTTGTCTCGTAAACACCTATAATAGTACTTTTGTTTCTATTTCTTAATTCTATTTACTATTCATAATATATACATAAGCTACATATACATTGCATGCTTGTTTGGTCCTACAGTTATAACAGAATATAGGTACATGGGTTGGAAAGCTAGCCCAGGGACTGCTCTGGGCTTTGCCATACTCAAATTTCGCAATTTTTTTTTCTTTTGTTGGTAACGAAATCTAGTATTTAGCAATTTCTTTTTTTCACCAAAATTTGATGCCCATAAAGACTGAACATCAATGTTTTATTCACACTCATAGTTACAACATGATGTCTGTTTATTGTAAAGGTAAAATTATAAGTAGGTGATTTCATATGCTTACACATGACATACAAGTATCAGATCAACAAGTAATTAAATAATTAAGTTTGCTCCTAGTTTTAAAAATTGGGAACAGAATTCCATGGTTGACAATTTTCTGGTTTCAACTTTTTTATGAGCCATAGCAGTCCTTATAACCATTGCTAAACTCTGTCAAATACTTTCCTTTATAAGCTAATTTAAGTTTAACCAATCGACATTAACCTACTTAGCTTTTTTCTGCCATAGCCTAGTCCTAGCAAATACATTGGATATGATGCTCGAGTTGTATGATGTAAATATGCTATATTTTCGATGATGAGGAACCCACTTTGAGACTAATAATGGTTGGAGATGGCTTGAATGGGTAATGAAGAAAAACTTTAATATAAGTTTAACATAACAGCAAATGTACAACGTTTTGTCAACGTGATGATGATGACAAAACCTTGTCGAAATGTTGCACATTTACTGTTATGTTAAACTTATATTAAAGTTTTTCTTCATTACCCATTCAAGCCGTCTCCAAGCATTATTAAATATGCTATGTGTACTGCTATTTTATAACATTTAAAAAACTGCTTAGTCTCCTGATCAAAAGCAGCAAAAACACTAAAACTTGATTTCAATTTTTCTAACAAAAATAAATCTTACTGAATATAAGAATTTTTTTTTCACTATTGGTTTTAATAAAGTGATTATTCTTGCTATTTATGAAAGATTTATCATTCCACATGAGTTATAAGTATTTTGAAGTTTAAATGTGCATGGACTTGATGCTGATTGATGTGCTAAAATATTTTTATTGGTTGGCTTATGTAAGCTTATTGGCAAAATATTAACATAGAACAGTGTTGTAGCATTTTTTCTGGCTTAAAATTTTCTCAAAGAGTAAGTATCGAAATATTATTGTACAGTGGAAGGGTGATGAGTTTTAAAGACACTGAATACCTTGTGGCTGCTTTAATAATTGCCATTTTGTTTGTGAACTAACAAATTAAAGCTGTATGTGATTAACTCTCTCGCCACAGGTATCCTTTACTGCACATGACACAAGGTTTTAGTGTCTTACATTTAAAATTTTATTAAACTACTATTTGTTTATGTTATACCAATTAGTATAGCATAAAATCCATATTTAAATAGTATACAAGTTTTAAGTTCTTAATTTTATAAGGCAATATTTTAAAAAATCCTGAATTTCCCCTAGTGTGACACATTTTCTGTAGGTGTCTTCTCATCTGTATTTTATCCACACCCCCAGAAACTACAAAATTAAATAAATTACCCACTATAAAATCGTCATTGCTCAGACAAACAATAATTTTTATAGCCTTCAATTTTGTTTGGTTACAGAGCTATCAAATAGAAAATCAGACCCCCCTGCCATACTCACCTGTCACATCCTCTCTTTCAGGATTTGTAAATAGTTCTCTCTTACGTTTAATTATACATTACCTATAACCAATAGAAAGCCAAGGTTTTCACCTATCTCGTATTTTCTTACATTATGTTCTGAACACAGTATAGCCAATTTCACTTGTTAAACAACTTTGGTTCTACCAGAAATGACAACGTCTAGCTCGGTTGAATTTGTAACAGCTCTTGTTGCATAGTTAGAAAGCTAGAAAAATTTTGACTGTTAAAAGGAATGTCTGCTTTTTGTATATTACTAGTCTATGTTCTTTGATGAAATAAAAATTATTTAATGCATTACTACCATTAGTATAAAAAAGTAGGGTTAAGTGTCATTGACAGTCAACATACAAAAAAAAAGTTGATTTTCATTTTATTCTTTATTTATTATTATAAAAGTAACTAAGACATAAAAATAATGATCTCTTTAGGCTAGTTAAGATTAGATTAGGTAAAATAAACAATAATAATAATGTAATAAAAATATTTCATGAGGCACTGATGCGAGCAGCTCGGAGTGGCTCATGGGTAATGTAATTCGATAGCGTAACATGAGCTGCATATTCCCCCAAGTGATTTACAACTTATAATTGCATGAATAGTAGCTAGACACAGTTCAAAGGGAAATAAAACAATAAAATTTAACTACAAAAAAGATGTACATTGTTATGACTTCAAAAGCTACTTAGGATAAACGAATGTAGTTTCAGACTACATTTGAAGTTATTCTAGAAAGGAAAGTAATTTAGATTTTTTTTTTTTGGTTGTTACGAGGTCAGTCAAATTGACCAACCTTGTAATAGACTGATAAGACAACAGTATTCATTAACCAAAGTTGCTTTATCTGATACAGCAATCTGTAAAGAAAGCTGACAGTATTTAATGAAACTGATTAAACTCAGAATATCTGCAGTTAAACTGAAGACTGAAGAATAAACTTAAGAAATTCTAGTTGGTGGCAAAAGACACAAACCGCTTGTTAAAATCTCTAGAAGAAATAATCTAAGTCCTTCTACGTTGCACCTTTACTAAAATGGTGTTAACTGCTATACCTCACTATCTAAATAATCTAAGTCCTTCTACGTTGCACCTTTACTAAAATGGTGTTAACTGCTATACCTCATTATCTGAAGTAGCAACGACAATCTTTCTTCATTTGTATGCTGGTCTAGGTATCCAGGTAAAACCAACTTGAACAAAATTATAAACAGTGAAGTGACACATTGAATATATTCCTGTGGACTTCTTCTGCCTTTGGTCTGGAGACAAAAATTATAACTCTTTGCATGGGCAGACATTAAAACGTGCATCCCACAATCTCCTACAGAGTAACATTAAGTACTGGACATCAGGGTTATTAACTATTAATTTCACTCTACACTGCTCACATTGTGACAGTTCATGGTAGAATATACACATACAATATACAAGAATACTGAATAAAACTGTAGATATGAATTTTGGAGGTTCTAGAGGTTATGTGTAAAAGCAATACAAAAACTGTAAGATGGACAAAAGTTTTTTTATTCTTCACATGAACATCACTTTGCACACTAACCTGTCAGAGTCCTAGTCAAATTGACAATGGCAATTCACAGATATATACTGATTACAAATACTTGTGTCACTTTTTCTTTGTACAACAGACTTGAACATTTTATTAAAAGCTTCCCACATTTTGTGTGGATACACAAAGTAAATTCAGAATTATAGTCAACATTTCATCCCCAATACACTGTAGGTCCATACTGGACCGAACCCGTGCATGTTCAGTGAATACAGCTAGGGATAATGTTAAACAAATGTTAAGCATGTTGCTATTTTTCAAGTGCATGATCCTTCATATATTGAGAAATCAAAACATGGAGTTGAATTTTCACTGTATAATATACACCAATTCATCCTAGTCTCAAATAAAAAGACATGGGTGGAAAAATCCACTAGCCCGATGCACATGACTGTCAATGTATTTGGCATAAACTGGCTAATTAAATAAAGTTTACATATTGAGACAAAATTCAACACATTATAGTGTATATAGTATTCCTTGGTTAATGTGAATATTTTAAGTATAAGCTCGTGGCCAGTCCAGCTCTACTTGATATACAAACACATACGGCATCACTCGGTCAAGAACTTGTTAATGAAAATGTTTTGTATATAGTACACTAAGTATGTGATTATCTTTTTCTAGGAATAAGAATAGCTATTTTTTTAATACAAAGTTTACTGATACAAAGTGAAAGAGCAATGATTGGGAATAATGACTGGGACTGCCCCCTCAGAGCTCTGTGACCTTTTTCCTAAATATGAAGGTGTTCCAAGTGTTGGACAGCCTTGTGGTTGTTTTGGTTTTATTGTATATATAAAGAACTGGACAACCTACCTAGAGATTTTATATGTTCTGAGTTAAACCATATTATTTTCAGTATGTTGAGAACATCAGTATCACATACATTTCATATCTGCATCACATACGCTGTAGTAAATTGTATCATTTTGAGTTTTGTAAAACTGTGAAATAAGTCAATGCAATGAACACAGATACATGTATATATATATTTGCCAAATGTAATAATTTAGTCATTAAAGTAAAAATAAAATTAGTTGAACTAGTAGAATTTCAATTTGGGCTAGCAAAAAAATTTTTATTTTTATGCTCCTGAAAGAGTAAAACCTACTTATCAAAATAATATATATCTCTCACATTTTCTCTATGCCAACTTCTCTCAACTGTTTCATAAAAATGTCACGAGACAACTATAGTTCCATGCTGTGTATTAACACTTCACCTTAACAAAATTTTAAATTAGAAAGCCAATATACAGTTTATTTCTTTAGTTACTGAATGTACTTATAAAACTATTGTTGAGTAGATTATTTTAGATTATTCAGTAAGAAGAAGAATGCAAAGTCCAGTCCTCTTAATTATAACGAAATAATTTTATTTCTTCATCTAAAAGTCCAACGGACTAACCAATGTTTATTAAGCAATATGCCTAACTTCAGAAATAATTATAATTAATCAGTTACTCGTTTTATTCACACAAGTTTAGTTCTTCTTGTACCTTGATTTGTTTGCTAAAAACACAAATTAAAAATTTACAAAACTGAACTGAATAACTGTCCCAGAGTAATTTACAGAAGTTACAGTTTTTTTTCACGAGATAATAAATGCTCTCACCACTCATCTACTTCACTGACTGACTCAATAATCAATCATCCATCTACTCTAGCCTAACTTGCATTTTATACCAAACCCTTCCCCATGTCACTCCCCGTGGGGCCTTAAAGATACATGCCAGGTTTGGTGACAATTGAACCAGAAGTGATAAACAGACACACACAGACTTTTCTCAAATAGTGTTTGGTATCATTATCTTAACGTGTAGACTTACGTACCTCCAATGTGGGCATCTCGGCTTGTAAACTCAATAGTACCATCGTGAGCTTTACGAAGATCTTCTTTGTATTCTTTATGAGTTCCATCACTGTTATTATATCTACAAGCTAGCCCATAATCTACAAGATACACCTAGAATATGGAGAAAACACAAGCTTTTGTATATATACATAATTAAAACAAAATGTGCTTGCTATTCTGTGGCACCATAACATACAGTCAGTTTGCAGAAATATATCATTATTATTATTACATTAATAGTGTTTATTTTTTGCATGTTTGAATACCAGGGATTCAAGGTGTGATGATGTTATTGTTGTTAAAAAAACAATTAATTCTAAAATTTTAATTAGTGTTGTTAATACAGATGTTTTCAAGAAAAATAACAATTAATTAATTTATCAAGTAAACAGCTGTTTAGATGTATTTTAATTATTAACGAGTCAAATATTAGGCTTGGAAAACAAAACTAAGTTGCAGTATACTAGATACACCTGCTTGGTCCATAAATGGTTGCAGTCTTTAATGCTTCCATTGTAATGCACATGGACACATGATATTGCCTTTTTTTTTGTCTCAAAGTGTAATATTAACTAGGCGTGAGTCTAGAATTTTGTTCTATGATGAATAAAGTATATTCTCCTTCAAACTTACCAGTTTGAAGTTTTAGATAAGTAAAGAAACATTAAAACATGCTTTTTTGTTTCTTATTGGTACTGAGAAAGTTGTTTATTGGTAAACATGGCAGTAAAAAGAATTAATATCAGTGTGATGCTTAGATAACAACCTGACCAAATAAAGAATAAATATTGTTTAGGCCTGCTATGGATAAGCTACAATTAAAATTCTTGGTGTACAAATCAAGTTGTCCTGAAATACACTGAATAAATCTTACTAATTTTAAGATATTCTACAAGATATTATCTCGATCAATATGTGTCAAAAAGCTCTCCAATAAGGGCTTTAAGAAGAGCATGTGAAAGTCTTTGAAAGTGACACTTATTATGTAAGCTAGATTAAACTTTATTTAATCAGCTGAAATATTAAGCCCATATTTTCAAGTAAAACCTCATAAAAGCAAAAAAGTTCTGCACTGTTTGATTCAAGAACTGTTGTGCTCATTCCTGTAAACTGTGGAAGAAGGCAAAATCCTTGAGTAGATCGCCATGTCAAGTTATACTCTACCTAAAGTAAAATTAAGAATGTTCAAAAGACACTATTTACTGAAGAATGACTGAACTTATCTAATAAAGAAATGCTTATTTTTATAATCAAGTGACTTGTGTTTTGTTCTCTTGTTTACGGAGATTTTAATGTTTTTTATATTGTGAATCTTGTCTCTCTCTGTTAACTTTTGATGTAAATTACCTCAAGTTGGCAAACCTGCAATTGTGACAAGCTGCATTCCTAGAATAACTGATATATTTTAATGTTCAAAAAGATTAAGTGATTTTATTGTCTATTTTCAATGCATGAAATATTGCTTTTCAGGCTAGTTTTAGTATGCAAGACTACAAGCTATCACTATCTTCTCCTGTCCAATGGATGGGTGGTTGTAAAAAAAAAAGTTGGGATAAATGTTGACAAGTACATTCTTTATACAAGTAACAAAATTGCACTTTCCAAATATTATGTATTTACAAACAAAAAATCAGGTTTTTTCTTTTATAGAAGTTCATGTAATGTACATATTAATTATCTGTGCTACTATGTAAAACTAGTAAACAAGAAATAAGAACTATTTTGATGGCATTATACTAAAATTACATTTGCTATTCAAGAAATATATAAACATGCTTGTATTATTATCAGTAGTTATATATCTTGTTCTATTCTGATAAAAACTTCTATAATATCATCCAGAAATGATCAAAAACTCTATAGGTAGAAAATGACTTCCGCAACTTCATATAAATGAAACTGGTATTCCCACTACTACTTCAGTTTAAAAACTTAAAAATATATCCAAACTAAACTTCATATTTAAGCAGTGCCGGATTAACCTACCATGGGGCCCCTTAGGCCAAAAGAGAGAATGTTTGACGCGAGAGTCCCATGAATATATTGCTACAAATCAAGGATGGTTATCCTATTATTCTATCAGTTGGCTTTATTGATAATCAATAATTGATATTCTATGATAATATAATAGATAAGATACCGAGATTTCACGTCAATTAGATAATTACAGAGTTGCATTTTTAATAATATTCAATAATTGTTTTTAACATTTTTTTATTTTTAAGATATAAAGAGAATTTTTGCACAAATCAAATTTTTATTCATGGTATAGAAAGACCCTTTATAGGCAGAGTGCTGTATGGTGAAATTCATGATATGCACTCACAAATATGATGATGAAAATATGATGAAATTGTGAACTTATCTGATCTCCTACTGAATGTACACCATACATTTCATCATAATGTTAAAAAATAGTTCAATTGAATCAATTAATATAATAATATACAGTCATGAACCATGGCCCTGTGTGTTAACCTGGTCCTGTATTTAAGGATTACTAATCAAACCATAAAAATGAATTTAATACAAAGATTTATACACCGATCTTCCCAATATCAAAAGAAATATAATAAAAAATTCTTTCAGTACCTGATTTTCCCTGCCCTTTCCGTAACCCAGTAGCAGATTAGAAGCCTTAACATCGGCATGGATGTATCCAAAACTGTGAATGTACTCCAAAATGTCTACCTATACAACAACAAAATTGTCTAGTATATTATAAACTTGTTCTCTATTAATACATTACAACAAAGATATATTAACATTCAAGTTGCAACAATAATACTATTCGTATACCACATGACAACTACTGTTATTGATAAATAGTGAAAATAACATTGCAGCTACCTGTTTTATTCTTAAAGCTCACTTGTAAAAGTTTATTAAACAACACTAGAACACATTAAGCTATATTACACAAAATTCAGAAATTGTATGAAGTTTACAGATTTTGGTAGCCAAGTTTTAGTTCTCCTCAAAAAAAAAAAGGTCTGTTAAAAAAGAAATTTTTATTTATACAGACAATGTTTGTAAGATTAGTATAATAAAGAGGCATTAAAGTATAAAAATAATGTGTATAAATGGAAATAAAACATACAGATGTGATCCCTACAACAAAAACATACAAAAAATTAAATTGTGATACAAATTTAAAATAGTCTAGTGTCTTTTTTGAGTTACAATTATTCAATTACAGTCACAATGTTCTTAGAACCAAATTAATTTTCTTGTAGTCAAAGTTTTTTGGAAAATTATAACCTCTGTAAATGGATAAAAAAAAAAAACAACAAGTTTTTACGTTACACAATAACTTTGTACTTTATGGCTTAGTTCTGCATTCTATAAAAAAAAAACATAAACAGAAGTTCTAGTAGTATGTAAATGGTGTAACATGTATCACCTACATATAATGCTGCTCTTACAACCAAACTGAATAAATCTGAAACAGGAGATATAAACCTAATAAAAGGTACTCCATCAACTTTATTTTTCTTCAAACATAAGATGTGTTAATATACAGGGTGGCCTAAAGTTATCTTTCATATTTCAAAATTTAATAATTAAATGACAAAAGAAATACAACCATGCAGTTTTTAAAATCTTGTAGCCCGACTCAGTTTTTATTGACTTTTTTTTTTTCACTCTAGTGAGTAGTGTTACCCCATATAATGGCAACCATGCAAGAAAAGGCTCAATGCATCATTTGGCTTGCAGGGTGGGCCAATTCTGTGGCCTCCATGTTCACCAGACTTCTTTATTTGGAGGTATGTTAAGAACATCGTGTATCACACACCTATAGCAAACAACACTGAGCTAAAGACCAGGATAACGAATGCCATCACCATTGTAACTCTGGGCATGTTGCAGTGAAAATGGACTGAAATCAATTATCGGTTAAACATGCCGGGAGCCACTTAATGGTGCACACGTAGAAGTCTACTGACAATGAATAAAAACTGTTTTTGCAGCTTGCCAAATAGCTGCAATGCTTATTGTGCAGCCAACACTACATACATTTTTATCAATATGTACTTTTTCCTACAAATTCAAAACATAATATATAGAGATACGTACAAATAGCTACACTGATATGTCCACACACTCACAGAAATTACTAATGATAATTAGACAAAGCAAACGATGAACTGTTCATAATACTTGTTTCTTCTTTTATGAGAAAGTAATCTAATTATTATAAAAACACCAAACATAAGTCATATTTTCTTATTTTTTAAATTTCAAGAATCTTTCCCATGCTAATTATTATTAAAAGGTTATCTTTAAATTGAATGGACCAATTCTCAGTAATTAAAAAGGGTGTTCAAGCATACAATTTATCTTTTACTGATTAAATTTCACAATATTCCCATAATATGCTAAATTTAATAATTAATATTCCAATACACATCTTCATTAACTATATTCAACTAGTAGTTCAGGACTAGTCAAGAAAATGCTTAATGAATCTGAAAACAAAAAGCTTACTACTTACAATTCTAATTCCTAATGTGTAAACAGTTTTTTCAGGAAAGAGTTTATTGCTTCTGTCAAGAATTTTTTGTAGATCTTCTCCAAATCTCTCCATTACCATGAAACGATACTTGACCCCACGATATTCATGAGATCCTGACCCTATAAACCTTGGCATTCCTAGAAAATCTAAGTCCTTTTTCAAGACCCACTCGTCAACTGTAAACAAAGAAAAATATTACAAACAAACAGTTCCCTGCATGTAAAAAAATTTGTCTTTTTTCTAAATTTGTTTTAATACTTGCAAAAAAAAAAAAAGTCATTAATAACAAATCCTCATGTTAATATTTCAATATCAATTAAGTTAATGACACAACCATAATCCCTATCTCTTTAATTGTTTTGAAGAATATCCCTCGTTATACAGGAACAAACTTAAAGTTTTCTGGACCACAAAAAATAATAATAACTATACTAATCACTCCTTCAAAGGATATGTCTTACATAACAGACAAAAACTTTAGCTTGTACAAAACAAATACACCAGCATTTAAGTTATTTCATTTTATGATCACTTTACCAACAGAGAGACAGACATCTTGTGTATCATATTAATACATAACAGTAGAATATCTTTTATACTGAAGGTGTAACTGTAATAGCAAACTTCAAGTTTTGCTACAAATGATTTTGTTACCGTTATTGTTGGGGTAGAAAAAACAACAACTTTTGATATTCATTTAAAAGGTTCTAGAGGTAATGCGAAAAATCTAAAATAAGAAGAATTTTCATTCTTAGCATGAAAATCACCTTTCACTAAGACTGACTCAGTAAAGGCTTTGTAAATTCACAGACAATGCTTTAGTAAAAAATACTTTATTAAAAAATCTGATTTTTTGCATACGACATATTTGTAGTGTTTTTTAAAACCTTGCCAAATTTCATAGAGATACACTTAATACATTCAGAATTATAATATGTATAGTTTCATGGTTACATGGTGGTTTCTATATGAGTCAAATTGACTCCAACAGTATGCATAAGATTAATCAAAGTCTTTGAACATAAGATTATTACAATTTATTTTCTACATATTGTGTTAAAAAAAGGATTTTTCATATATGTATCAAACTTACTTTGTTCAGTTTTTGCCACACGATGATAGAAGTGCATCTCAGAAAAGAGTGGTCCATTAGTGTGATGTTCCTAATCAATATTTAAAAAAAACAGTGAGACATTAAATACATTTACTTATGATAACATGAAGCTTTTATGCATTTTATTCATAAGCACATGCAACGAGAGAAATATCTGTTATTGCTTGGAAATCTACACTGTATCAAGTGCCAAAAAGTAGTGAACCCATTGTTTTCACTGGTGTTGGTGAAGAACTAACTTATAGTTGAGGCATCAGGATATTTGTACATTAGTGATTCATCTTTGTGAAGTGAAATCACAATTACTTTTCATTGAGAGTTAAAGAAAACAGTGTACCTATTGTTTTTGAGTAGTTTTTGACTCTGAGATATGTTTGACTTGTATGATCAAACAATTTCGAAACTTTGCGACTATTAACAAATGTTTTATCTTGGTATTATTTCTGAGCAAGGTAGCCATTATACACGAATTTTAACTAAATTTTGTTGTAGTGTTTTAACATAACTTTCTTTCAACTTCAGAAACATAACTAGATTTATTTGTGAACTTAGACACAACTTTACTCGTTTATTTGAAGTACAATTAATATGTATCAGGAAGCATGATGGAGTTTGTGTGTTGAATTGTTTGGCCCCCAGAATTAGGGGAAATTTCAGTCACAGACACGTTTGTAGACTTCATTCATCATAGGACACATTTACCATTTTTGAGAACTCTGATCAACCTTTCCAGTCTCTTCAATATTTGCACAGTAGACATGGCAGTATAAAGTTTATTGTGAAACATCAGGAAGATCATAAACTTTCATTCTTGGACATGTTAATGAATAATAATAATGATGATCAGTTCGAATGTGAAATGTACCCAAAAAGACACTTACAGACTACCATTATCTGCTACTAGTATTTCATTAACGTGTTATATGTCTATATAACTGATATATCATTGAATGGTCACACAGTATTACTCTTCTTATAAATACATAATCATTTTTATTATATCTGTTAAGAAGAATCAGAATCCAACAGCAAAAAATTAATATCACGAAAATGCTAAAAACAATGTTGCTGTTAAATAATAAGAAAAAAAAATATTACTATAAAACAAGCTTACAAATATGGCTTCGAAACTTAACAGTAAAGATCGTATAAAATCTTAGAACTAATAAAATCATCAAAATCACTTACAACTTTAACAACATATGATGCTTCTGGTCCGACAGTTTTTGAAATGTTGTCTGAAGCTAAAAGATAAATAAATTTAAGGTTTTAAGACCAGCACATTTTACTTTGTTTTCAAATTTCAAAATGCTTTCCAGCATTAGTATTTAATTGCCAGCCATATTTCACACTCACAAAGAAAATAATGCTATAGTCTTTTCATCATGTTTAAAAGCTTAAAAGTGTGAGCAAGTACATAACAATGACAATAATACATAACCCTAACATCCTTGCATAATAATAGTAACAGAAGAAAAACTGCCTCATTCTGTATTTTGACATTAATAACACACTCATTTGAGATGTACAAAAGTTATTTATGTTTGAAAGATAAGCTTACTGTCAATAATGTCGCTGTTTTGTTCATTTTTTTTTATACAAGATAATTTTACATTGCAAATCTCTGACAACATGTACATGATCCACATTTCAAGTAGTGCAAACAAAAATGAAAACTGAAAATATCAATATTAAAATAGCATTACACCTAACACTGTAGAGATGGGAATTTATATCAATTACCTAAGAGAATCAATCATGTCGATTAGTCATGTAAAATAATCAACTAGTTTTTACAATTATTCCAACTATTCAGTAACCAAAATTGTGATTAAATCGATCATAATGAAAATAATTAGCTAATCAAAATTATTTCTGATTACTAACTAACCAGTAAGTTTCAGTACTGCTTACAGGCAAGTCAGTATAATAAAAAGTGTGAAAACTATTCTCAGAAGCTACTAATAAAAAAAAAGCCTACACACTTCTATTTTGTCTTTGAATTACCAATGAAAGGGTTTTAATACAGCAGAGTAATATATTCAAAGAATTAGAATATTCCTGTAAAATTACTGAGCAATAAATATGTTTAAAGCCGTACTCACGCACCTAAGTAAATCTCACCAAAGCCACCCAAACCCACTGAGCTTCCTAGTTTCCACTGTTTTTTCATAACATCAGTCAGCACTTCTCCTGCAGGAATAGGATCAGGCAGACGATGGCCATTTGATGCAACTCGTGGTCGAATAATTGCTGTAATGCAACATAATATATGAAAAATAAAAATATTCTTAACATTATATAGTGCCTAGTAACACAATGGTACATAATTGAACAATAATGTTTAATAAATTGTTAAGTACTATGTCAGACAAAAGCTGATTATAATAAACCTACATTAAAACACATAAAGAGAGTGTTGTGTTTATATTCCATCTTTAAATTCATTGTTACTCTAAAAAAGTCTTAAAAGTACTCAATTTATTGTCAGTTGCTTCACAGTATTTTTGTATAAATTTAACATCTTTATGTTCCCAGTGCAGAGAACTTGAAACTGTTTTTCGTCAGTAGTCATAGGAGTTAGTATCTAGAAGTGGAAGTGGCAGTACCCTACATATTGTGCAAGAAATGTCTTGCCACAAAATGGTTTGTTTGTTTTGTTCAATTGTTTTGTAAAGTTAGTCAAAGGCTATGTGTGCTAACTATCCCTATTTTCAGAGTGGTTAACTAGAGGGAAGGCAACTAGTCAACACCATCAACTGTCAGCTGCTGAGCTACTCTATATCAATAAATAGAGGAATTATAATACCTCACATCTGAAAAAGCACGCATGTTCAATGATGGGTTTCGATCCAACAACTCGCAGATAGGAAGTCAAAACGTCTAACCAATAAAAATGGTTACATGTAATACTGATGAGTAATGTAGATATAAATAGAAGCACTCCCCCCAAAAAAAGAAGTTAAAAAAAAAATATTGTTAAATACATATAAAAAGACCTAAAAGAAATATCAAATCTAAGTACATACATGTACTAACTGAACTTCCACAGTATTATTATCTTTTATGGTGTAAAGTTTATTTATTTGTTCAATTTTGCATAAAGCTACTGGTAAGATATCTGTGGTAGCCATCTTTGATTTTGAAGTGATGAACTGGAGCAGGGGTCTCCAAACTGTGGCCCGCGACTTCAGTTTATCCGGCCCGCAAACAGTTTATTAAAATAATAATACAATTTTTTAATATTATAAAACAAAAATAAAACGTAATTGAGCAAAAGCCAATCTAGCTGTGATAAGGCCCGTGTAATTTTGTCAGAAGAGCACCAGTTTCATACTTCTCACTAATGCTAAAAAAAAGATGATTGTGTATCTTAAATATTTTCAATATGTGCTTTTATGAGAAATAAATTTGTGATGTTATCTGATCATGCATGCATCCCTATTTAATTTTACCATGACCTCTACGGCCCGCGAAACCCAAAAAGATCCACCTCCTGGCCCTTGTCCAAAAAGGTTTAAAGACCCCAGGACAAGAGGGAAGGCAGCTATTCAACACCGCCAACTCTTTACCAATATAATGCCCCCAAGGCTGAATGGGTGACAATTTTTGGTTATAGATTACAATTCCACAACCCGCAGATCGCAAATTGGGCACCTAGCCACCAGGCCATGTCAGACATTATGCAAGGTGCATATATTTGTTGTTTAAAATACTAGTTTCAGATACATTAAGATCTCTATTTAAAAAACCTAAATTGCTAATGTATAGTAAAATCAATGTTCTTACCTTTCTTTTTCTCATCTGGCCCTTCATTCTCTCGACTTCCTCTTTTGGGCATCTTCAATAAACTTACAAGGTACACTATTTGTAGCAATGTCTCAATAGCTCAGAAAAACCACTCCATAGACTATATAGGTTCTAGATGAAAATGAGTAAAAATCGAATATTTAAAAACAAGATACCAACTTTATAAAGTACACAAGATATTCTGAAAACATGGAAATTCATCACAAAGAATAAATTCATAAAAAATATGTAACATTTCACTGCATGTATTGAAAAAAAAAAAAAAAGAGATGCAAACATGGAAAAATATTACACTGAACACTGCAGAGCTCAATTACATCAATTATTCATGTAAGATAATCAACTAGTTTTTCCAACTATTCAGTACTCAAAATTAATATTTCTGGTTATTACTGTTTCTGCTTATTCCAATTAACCAGTAATCAATATCTAATTAAAAACACCTTTAGTGTGAAAAAAAGGTGCAGTCAAAAAATGACTGACCAGGTGACTTAAAGGAATGAAATCAAATTTGGCAGCCAAACTGGTAGCTACACTTATAGCATTGATAAGAATTTTACAAAAAATATTCATTAGTTAGCCAGGCCATGTATTTTGTCAACTTGGAGAATGAGGTAGGTAAAACAATATACAAGGCCTAGCTAACTAATGAATGGATATTTGCCATCAAATTCTTATCAATGATATGTGTGTAGCTACCAGTTTGGCCTACAATTTTGATTTTGTTCCTTTAAGCTACATGCTCAATCCTTTTATGGCCACACCTTTTTTCTCACTTAAGGTGTTTTTAATTAGATATCATGACTTTTTGTCAATACGCACCGACAAACCACAGCAAGTCAGAAAAAGTAACACTCAATAGTAACCAACATTAGCTTTAGGATTGTAACCCTATTATTTGAAACAGATCTATACTTTACAGAAACAATTAGATTCTTTTATAAAATATATGATGGTAGTTTTCCTCTCTTAAACAGAGTGAACAACTTCCATTACGGTAATGCCAATGAAACTAGATTAACAGTTTCTTGTCATTGCCCGCATGCACTTGGTACAGCCATATCAAGCATCATTATCTACACTAATATCATGTGATGCTAAATACTCTTTTAATTAGGAGAAGTTTATAAAATGAATAATACCTGTAAGATTCTTTTAAAAATTTGAGCTAGAAACTACTCATTTAATTTGCTTCATCTATCCAATACTTATGTATATGCACTTACTTTCACCCTGTAGTCTTGATGCTCTAAATCAGCCATTTTTATTCTGAATGACAAAAAACTAAAAATGGTCCTCTTTTACCCTTAGGTGAAGCTATAGTAAAAATTTCAGACCAATAGCTCACATGACTTTTTGCATAGGCATATGCCAAAAATTGTTGCTTACATTTAGAACCCATTTGACACCTAATTTAAGTTGTAAAGATCTATCAGTGTACTAAATTTTAAAAAATTGAGGAAATTTAAGTATGTTTTACTATCAAATAAAGTTTCCGTACTTTCAGTGCAAAGAAAAAAAAATGGAAAAAAATTCAATTAAAATTGAAGATTTTATATCTTGTATATTTCTTAATGGGTTGCCTTGAAATTTAGTATGTGAAGTAAAGGTCCAGTAGAGCACATCCACTGAAAATATATGATAGTTTGGATTACCACAGTCCGAGCTACAGAAAGTGCAAAATTACTAAACTAACACTCCTGTTAATAACATACACAGTGTGTCCTGTAGGTTGTTTTGGCCACATGACATATTACCGTGTGTGTCTTGATATTGCCATAAAGATTTTTCATTATTATTTTCAATAAATTTGAGTATTTAAGTTAATTAAGTTTAATCAATTAATGTCACAGCTCACAAAAATAATAAACTAATTGAAATAATCAAAAATAGCAATAATTAGAAGCCCTATGTTTGTTTACTGTCCTATCCACTGAAGATATCAAAACTATATTTATGGGGTAATAAACATTTTATAGTCAACTCAAGAATTTGTTTTGTCATAAAGCACAAAGCTATAAAATGGTGTATCTGCCCATCATAGGTATTAAAACCTGGTTTTTAGCATTATAAGCTTTCAGACTTACCACTGAGCCAGTGGAGGGTGAACTCCTGATAGAATATTAGTTTTTTTTTGGTTTTGTGTAAATAATTAATTAGCACAAAAATTAATTTATTTGCAAATTTCACTAATTGTCAAGCTCTATCCAAAAGTAGGTTAATGTAAATGTGAAAGTTGTTACTACTATCGCAACTAAAGAAAGGACAGATTGAAAACTATTAAAATAAAGAATATAAGATATTTCATGCATGTCAGTTATTTACATGAAAAGTAATGAATTGGCTTCACTGACATTACATATTATTAAGTATAAATAATGAATTATAAGTGTCCTCAAGTTTAAGCTGATGTAGATATCACTGAAAGAAATCACAGATGTGTTCTCTGATACTTAACTTTTTTTTTTTTTGCTAGCCAACCTTTGACTTCTGTTATTTGTTTTAGGCATTCCATCAAAATCCTGGAAGTATAACACCATGCAATATCCTGCATCAAGTAAAAAATCTGACCCAAATGTACTCACAAAAGTGCTTACAACTATATCAATGAACAGTAAAGATAAACTCAGTGCTACTAAGTATTTGTTCAAAAAAAAACATTATCTGACATGCACTGGGCATATAAATATTTTGGCAAGACACACAAATAAAATAGCTTATATCCTCAAGCCATGCCCCTAAAAATCTTCAGAACCCTAAAACTAAAGTGAACAATTATTATCACAGATTTAATCTACCATACTTGCACCCACAGCAATTCCAGCATTTTCTATATTTCATTGCTGCACCCATGTACATTCTGTTTCTTATGATGTTATTGGTAGAAGCTGTTCTACGGTATGGGTGGTACTGGAGGCATATAATATATATCTGAAAGCCATACGAGATCAGCAACAAGGGGTGATTCATTAGGCCATGCCTCCCAGTTGAGACTGTCAACACAATAAAACTATTATTATCTGAGGTATGTTTTTGTACATCAACCCAAAATGTGTTATACTTTCAGTCAGGATTAAGAGCATTTTTACTCTCTGGTAATATGAATGTTTTGACTATTGTTCTAAAAAGAGAAAAACCAAGTCCCAGAGTTAGTTACATGGTCCATTTCCAAGTTCAAGATGCCAGAATGTGCACATTCCATGAATGTTGAAAGTAAAGATTTTATGATGCACAATACTTAAATTATTATAAACAGCAATCTTGTCATAATGAGATGTACAGTTGATTGTTTACATAACTTTTTTTTACCATTAAAAGGTAAATTGATTCACTTTGATGGCATGCATACTAGAATCCATGGCCAATGTGAACAATTTCTTGGTCATAAACACAACTCTTCTTCTTGAGCTCCAAACCTCATCCCCACTTAAACCTCGAGTTTTCTCATTATCTATTCCCTACTTCGTTTCAAACTTCATAAGGTACAGCTATGGTAAAAAAAACTTTTACACTACAGAATAAGTTGATATTATTTTAACTTTGATTTTTTTTTCAGGTTACCTCAGAACTATATGGTCAACAAAGATTAACCTAATATATTAGATTTTTACAGTGGAAGTCTCTTCATTCATGAAAAAAACACCAAAATCTCGGTTATGCAGCTAACTTTTAAAAAGCCAACATATATCATACTATCATCATAAAAATAAAACATTACAGCAAGTAGCATGGACAAGTTAAACACAATAATACTATACTATCTAAATAAACCTTCTAGTTTTATTTTTTTCCTGACAGTTTTTCAAACTTTGCAAGATAGGTGTCATTATTAATTATTATTTCATAAAATTACATGTTGTTTAAAATCAAATTTAGGTACTTCAATAATATTCCAAATAGTAGGTTTTTCAACCAAGTATGTAATTGCCTAATAAATAAAACAACTTAATTTTGGCTATTTGTTTCTCTTGGTTGGTTATCAATATGCTTCAGTATCTGAATAGTTATGAATACAACACTTATGATCTAGTAGAGATTAAATAATTAATAAAAGTCATACACCTTTTAAACCACAATTATTTATTATTCCAAATTAAATATTTTTTGCGATAATAAATAATTCTGGTTTGCAAGGTGTACTTTATTAATTAAATAAATTTATGAACCTGTAAAACAAAACTTAATTGTTTGGAATAACAGTATGGAAAACTGTATACAATATTTTTGCAACAAGTGACTATAAAGTGAATGAACGTTTCATTCTTTTTAAAAGTTCAACAATGCCCAAGCTTAAAAAACTGTGGTAGTGTCCATATTAATTAACATAAATATAAAAACTCTTTTCACTTTATAGCAACTAAATAAATAATTAAAACAAAGTCCATTCCATGTAAAGATAACAGACTAATTTATTTCTTCAATTTGCTACAGGTTACATTCACAGGTAGGCCTAACTTCACAAATAACAGTTCAACAGAAATTCCAAAACAAATACGCACCTAAATGTCTTGTAAAATTTCCTAACTAATTAATTAATAACAAATATGCTGACTGATGCATCATCTAGCTTGCTATATTAATCACAGATGGATATACAAATTCACTAACTATCAAGGCATAACTTACTAAATGACACTGAGCCTATTAACTTAAAACTCGGTCTGGCATTTTTTATTATACTAGTTTTCTACATTTTACAGGAACCTTCAAGATTCTACACAAGCCTATACTTTAATGAAATTTATAGAATTCACCAATTATGAAAAAATAATTCCCTGTAGTAAACAAAAAATATCAAAATAATAAAAATATAGCCCATAACAACACAATAATAATAATTAAAAACACATTAACTGGCACACCAATTAGAAATTGTATTAATACTAGAAATTAAAGCAGTATTTGTCATCTTAAAAAAAATTACAAAAATACTACAAGCCAAATCTTCTGAAAACATATTTCTCTTGTTAGAATAGGGTATGCAGTTCAGAAGTCACTTGAATCACTTCAACCATGAAACTGGACAGTTTAAGTTAGGGTGAAGTTTTTTTTCCAGTTTCTCACTTTGCATATGTAAAATTTAGTTCTAAATGCTCAACCAGGTGTGTTAAGATATTCATAAGTTCCACTTATTCTGCCTCCACACACCGTAACTAGACCAAAGTGACAGAATGGACATAGTAATGATATTGTACTAAACTCATTATTCACCTTTAGCTATCCAAATATGAAACCAACAATCACTGATTGAGAAATATTGACTCATTATTAAGAAAAATATTAAAACAGGAAGTGCTCATAAATAATGATAAAATTTAATTTGAAAATTAAAAGTGCAAGTAATCTTTAGCCAAACCTAGGTATGACTTTTATGCAACTGCACTTTATAAAAATTGAAAACACGTCTTCTGGTAATGAAAACTTTTTAGATGAAGCTTAAAATAGTTTTAGTTAATTCTCTGTTCATTCTTTAAGATTTAAAATGTAGAAACAATAAAAAAATTAATCATAAAGGCATATATACATGTTTATAATTCCATTTTGAAGCCTAATTCCATACGTGTATGTTTACATTACAACAAAGCTTGTTTAGCTAAATATTTGAGTCTAATATTGAATTTTCATTAAATATAATGTTATTCTTCTAACAGTCCTGAGAAAAACACACAAGTTATAGGCATATACATTGAATATTTTTAAGTGCAATATGCTAAATATTACTAATACAATATTCGGTTTCCAAACATTGCAGTCACAATCTTCTGCTTCTGCATTTCTATAATGTTTAAAAATATTTATATAGATGATCTCATGTATTTTTAAGTTAAAGCATGAAGATAGTTTGAATTTCTTTGTTTAAAAAAAATTGGTCTATCTTACAGTTTTAACCATGGTGAGGAATCCTAAAGAAAAGTTTTAAATTATATACCTATATGCTAGATGTACTTCTGCATGGACCCAGAAAGTGTTCTGTTTCAAGAGTTAATGAAACCAAAATTAAAAGTAACAAACATTTTTCTTTCTTCTTTTTGAAGTTCATATGTCATGCTGTGTTGCAGACTACAGAGTGCATAATTCTTCTCATGATTCATGGCATGTGCACATTTTACTGATGTCACGACAGTACAAATTGCAATGTTAAGCATCCCTTATGTGACATCATTTTAGTGTCTACTGACTGGCTGACAGACAACACTATAGTGTAAAGTGGTGCGAGTGGTTAAAACAGGTGACCCCTTCAGGCAGCCTTTGGCCCCCTTTTAGTGAAATTATTCTACATGTATATGTATTATACCTAAAGTAGTACTTTGTTAAATCAAAATAAAAGTTATGTGATTACATAAGTAAATACATGATTTCAAGAGAAATAATTTATATTCTTAGTTTTAACAAATGTTACAAGTACAGCATGTGGAATTTAAATCAAACAAACTGGTGTTTTTATAAGTATTTGCGAAACTACCAAGTTGCTCTTTTTAAAAAGACAAAATTTGTTCAAAATATTCCCTTTAAACATCTGAAAAAAAAAAAAAACTTTACTGTCTTTAAAATGTGTAATGCTTTTATTTCTAATACAAATTCTCAATTTTTATTGATTAAAAAAGTGTTTTACTGTCTACTTTTATAGAATACTCAACTTTACTTTTACAAGATCCTTAGAAAAGGAAAAACCTGAAGAATGCACAAGTTATTATTAATAACATACATGACCAGTATCAAACTGTTACAGGTTTGTATTATTTATATCATGGACACGCTTCTTTACACTAACTCTCAATTTTTCATTGAAATGCAACTGTTGACTATTAAAACATAATTTAAAACAGTTCTGTTTAAAAACTAGCTGTTGCTAGTAGCAGTGTAAATAGGATTTTAGGTTGTATCTACAGAAATATTGAATACAAGTCTAAAGAGATTATAATATCATTGTATAGGTTACAGTTGGGGTAGTGTGTTCAGTCTTGGGCTCCTTATCTTAGAAAGGACATTGAAAAGAGTTCATAGGAAGGCTACCAAAATGATACCTGGGATGAAAAGGTTGTCATATAAAGATAGGTTAGGATCTCTGAACTTATTTTCTCTTGTTCACAAAAATGATGATGCATCAACACTATCAATTCCCTTAACAATCTTAAACACCTCAATCAGATCCCCTCTAACTCTTTTCGTATACTAAATACCTAGCAGTCTAAAAATTTGAATACTAATGAGCTAAAACAACAATAATAATGATGATGATTATACTAACGATAATTATAAAAGATTATCACAAATTATATATATATACACTAGTATAAAGCCCACGAAAAATGACAGGCAACCATTGTTGAATTATTAATAAAAATTATATAATTTAACTAAAATGAATTTGTCTGTACCCTCAAAATGCACCTACTCTTCACTCGAAGTAATTCTTTAATCACCATATTTTTAGTAAAAACTACACAGAAAGATGAAATGTTATCATGAACAAAAGTACGTTGAACTCTGAAAAGAGACTTAAATAGCACTCTTGAGCCTTTTCATTGTATTCTAGGTCAGAAAGTAGGAAACACAGTGCTGACATTCCAACACAAATTTTCAACTCTTTTGGTTGTACAAAGGATAAAAAGATATTTGGTAGTAACAAATATTTATTTTTCTTTATATTTTAAGGTGAAGTAGGTAATGTATGTGTTAAGATACCAAAATAATATTTATTAATTAACATTTATTCACCATTTAAAACTTTTTGAACACTGTCACAAATTTTCAATTTTTTTGACTGCACAAAGGATAAAAAGATATTTGGTAGTAATAAACATTTATTTTTCTTTATGTTTTAAGGTAAAGTAGATAATATATGTGTTAAAATACCATTTAAAACTTTTTTAACACTAGCTCTATAACATTAGTAATAGTAGGCCTATTCATAGACTAATTCAATATATGAATGTAACATAAGGCTTAGCTGAAACACTACTTGGTAAATATTATTTTGCTTTCAGCTACAACTCAATGTCATAAAACTTCTGAATTAAACTATTTTTCTGTTATGTCAACAAAGTTGTCAAAAAAATAAATAATAAAAACAAACCTTCTTAATAAATCAACATGAATATTGAGCATTCAACATAAACACCATAGTTGGCCTAAGAACAATCAGGTGATAGTTTTGTTGCTAAGCGACGATGTATATTGTTGAGCATTACCAAAAAAGAAGCATGAAAGCATTCTTGACTGAGTAACAAATAGAATAAACCTTTTATAGTTAATGATATATATAATATTAATTATCATATTCCAAGTTTATCAATATTTATGATCATGAAGTTATGTACTGCTGGGTATTTATTATTTGAAGGATCATTCCCAGTAGTTTGTAGGAAACACACATGCTAAACGACACTAAACAAGAGTGACGATCAATACCTTTCCAGTGCAAAGGTTTTATTCTATCATTTCATCAAGCTTGAAGACAAATCAGTTTCATAATTTACTATT